GTTGTTGTGTGTGTGTGTGTGTGTGTGTGTGTGTGTGTGTGTGTGTGTGTGTGTGTGTGTGTGTGTGTGTGTGTGTGTGTGTGTGTGTGTGTGTGTGTGTGTCTGCAGGACACGGAAAGTACGGTGCCTTCCACAGCTTGGCTAGAACACATGCTCAGATAATTATATGTCTTGTGCGTACACACACACACACACACACACACACACACACACACACACACACACACACACACACACACACACACACACACACACACACACACACACACACACACACACACACACACACACACACACACACACACACACACATACAACTCATTAACACACATGCAGACAAATCATCACACGCATACATGACTCCTGCATGTACACACACACACACACACACACACACACACACACACACACACACACACACACACACACACACACACACACACACACACACACCTACACATTCAATCACATGTGTATGAGTCAGCAGTAGTCTGGCAGGGTTTTGCTTCCTGAGACAGAGGTAGCAGATCAACCCTTCGTGAGAGTGAGAAAACCTTATTTCCAAATGAAATACAATAGCACCCTTATTTTCTGGCACAGCAAACAGATCTGATTTGTAAAGGTTACGCTGTGTGTACTTCAACTGTAAAATCAACCCTCCATTAAGCGTGTATAATTAGTATATGAACATGTTAATAATGTTTATAATACACTATAATGTAGTGCTAAGCAGCTATGAGGCTGTTTTAAGTGTTCTCTAATGTATGTATCAACAATTATGCTTCTCACATTCTGTAATGCTTTTATATGCTTTAGAAAAATGACTGTGTGGCTGGCCTTAGTTTTGAGTTAATAAAAGTGGCATGACGTTTTTAAGAGCCACAGTAGCACAATAAGGAGAAAGTTAAACATATGAATTTAATCATATACCTTTTGATGAAGTGAAGTTAATATCTACTAACCAATATCCACTGTTACATAGTAGGAACGTAATAAACTGAATATAAGCCAGATCAATGCTTATTATACTGCTTTTCACTTATTCTAATTGGTTATCTTTTCATACACCAGTGTCTTTTTATTAACCATGGGTGACAGGAAGTTTTGTATGTGCTTACAACTACATTAAAGTGGATTGTAAACATTTTACACCATGATTATTAATAAATTATTAAAGCTTAACCAAGCGGTTAGAGAGCACAGTGTCACTTCTTCTTCTTCTCTACTTCAGTGTCACTGTTCAGTTTTTGTCACTGATGTTTATCTCCGGGAGATCAGTGAGTCACCGATTCAGTGTGAGAGCAGTTAGAAGTCCTGCCTGTAGTTTAACAGTAAGACTAAGGCCATGATTACACAGGAAACACTTGAAATCATGGCTGCACTTTGTGGTTTTCAATGGTTTGGTTGCTACCAACACCTGTCTCCTCCAAACTAGCAGTAGAACACAGCAGGAAACAGGTGTGTGCACATTATTTCCCGACTAACTTTTTCCTCTCAACTTCTCTGTCAGTCCCCCCCCCCCCACACACACAATAATAACTTATGCCTTGCTTATTACAGCTAACAATCGATCCGCATACCTCTAGCCAAAGGCTACAGACTTGTACTGGCCGTTGTACTGTTGCAAAAGTAAGCACCCAGCGGAGGCAGCAAATCTCTTCTGGTCCTTTTACTACACCTAATGCTGCCTAGCACAAGGTTAGTTATCCCGTCGAATTGAATATAGCTGAGATTTATTATGTCTACTAGTGGCCGGTGGTTTGTGTGTAAGCTTTGATTTTCGCGTTGGTGGACAAACCTTTTACCATTCTTTATCGTTTCATTTTTCCAGCAGTCTTTTTGATTAATCCACCTACATGTGCTCACGACTATGGTCTTTCTACGATGAATTCTGATCATTGTTCATAAACATGAGCGTGATGAAGGCGTGGAGACCGAAAAGTCACGTAGCAATGTACTCTACACCCCAAGATAACCTCTCACAGATGTGTGTTCCTTTCTGACACAATGGAGTGACACGACACCCTCTAGCCTTTGAGGGGCGAGACCTCCTTTTGACAACTTCTGCATCGGAAAAGTCTGTAATTTCGGTGGTTGGCCCAATATATTCTGTGGTTTCCGTGGGAGAATAATCGAGGACCTCAACACATAGGCAGACGTTTTACCTGTAAATCCCTCACCCAGATTGTATGAACAGGTGCGAGGGACGAGAGCAGACAAGAGAAAGAAAAGCAGGGTCTGAGTGATTGTGTTGGGTGCTTGTGTGGGGTGTGGTGTGCTCTGTTGTGTGTGTCGTGTGTGTGTTGTGTCTGTGTGTTGTTGTGTGTTGTCGTGT